GGATGAGCACCAGGTGATGTACGGGACTGTTGAACCACCAAACTCAATCACTACATTGTACATGTGGAACTAATATACATTAACATGGTATTTTAACTACATTGGACATAAAATTTTAAAAAGAACAATACTCAGAATATGTCAAAAAAGCTATGAAGACAAAATTATTCTCATCAACTAGAGTGAAGTCACTTATTTTGAAAACAACAGAGGAAATAAAATATATACATAAGGCCCATGTACCCTTCAGAAGGCCCCCTCCTACCACCCACTGTGAGCTTTCCCAGCAACAGATCAATTGTTATAGAGTCTATCTGGCAAGATTAATAAATTTGGAAACATAATATAGATCACAACTCACTTTCAAAGTCTTCTGCCTCCAACTGAACTGCCTTTTGCGCCAGCTGATTAAGATTAAAGTTCAGTGGGGGGCGGGGGGGAGGGTTCAAAAACTAAGCTTTAAGCAATGGTCTTTTAACATAGGCTTGCCAAAAAAGAAGCAAAGGCTTATGGGTGTTGCGAAGATTGAGACAGACCATTCATTTTTATATGCACATGGAACTAAAATAACACTTTGAGGCCAGTAAGTTTTCATCTTTTCTCTTCACTTTAATGATAGTCTTATTGGGTTATGCATAAATTAAGCAAATCAGATGGGCTCAGCCTATATGTTACTCAAAGAAAATAAAAAACCCTAGTTGAGCTGATGATACCTAAAGTGCTTAGAATGTTCTGATTTGCACTCACACATATTTTAAATATTATAAAGGAAATATACATTATTGCAGTGTACTGTCTGGTTCTTCATAGGTTTGGTGATGGGTTTTCAGGGTTATCTAAAGTCTCTCACCTTCAACCAAAGGCAAGAATTTAGGAGTTCAAGGCCTGGCATAAGATACAGGACAAATTATCATGCATTTAACATCTATATTTTTCAGTACGATATATTTTGGTGATATTTGATCTGGCACACTCTATCTTTGCAATGACTTCTGGAATCCAGTGGACCCGCAAAATAAATACTCTAGGTAATGACTACTTTTCCCATTAATGGAGGCCAACCGTGTCCACTTGTCTTGTTGAATGTGTTTGGAAATCACAAGACAAAGTATTTTTTAAATCTAAAAACAAGTGTTTAAATCTGATTTTCCTTTCTTTTCTTAAACAGCAAAGCCCTCCAATATGTGTTCCATTGTTGCATTTAACTTAACCAGAACGTAACACTTAGTTTTTAAAAAAAATTGTTTTAGGGGCGCCTGGGTGGCTCAGTGGGTTTAAGCCTCTGCCTTTGGCTCAGGTCATGATCCCAGGGTCCTGGGATCGAGCCCCACATCGGGCTCTCTGCTCAGCAGGGAGCCTGCTTCCTCCTCTCTCTCTGCCTGCTTCTCTGCCTACTTGTGATCTCTGTCAAATAAATAAATAAAATCTTTTAAAAAAAATGTTTTAGCATGTTTTGGTTCTATTTCTTCTTTTCAAATGTTCCTTCTCTCTAAACGAGGTGGTCAACTTAATACTTCTGCCAGAAAAAAATGCAAGAATCCTATACTTTAAGAAGACTGAAGTAAAAGGGGAGTAGATCTCTCTTTCAAAAGATTCATAAGAGAAGAGATTAAGTATAGCTTTTCCCCATAACTTAAAAATTTTTTGAAGCATTCATTTCTGGATTCAGCACGATTTCTCTCTCTTTCTCTCTCTCTTTTTTTTTTTTTTAGTTTTCATTTGTTTCTGTACCAACGTCATTAAAAAACGTGAGAGTTTTTGTTATAGAATTTTATTCCTTATTATTTTAAGTATTTCTCTACCTGTAATTTGCCTAATATCAAAGATATTTAACAACCCAAAGTCTGTAATAAAGAAATAAAATTAAAATTCTATTATATTCCTAGAAATGCCTACCAAGAGAGGGCATCAAATTAAATAAGGAAATTAAATGTCTTCTTTCTAGGACAAGAGAATTGGAGATTACTTTTGACCTGAAGGCCTCAGTTCTGCAAATGACGTTCTTCTATTTGTGTACAACAAATTAAGAAAAAGAACAAAAACAACATCCCCCGACCCCATTACTGTACATATGTTTTCACATTCCCCAAAGTGACTCATGAAGTCCCAGACTCTGTCTCCCTCATGCAGACATGGACTTGGAATCCACAGTTCAGGGAAACCCCTCTGAGGAGGAGACAGACTCTACCCTAAGCAATTCAGAGCATCACCATGCCAACAGAAAAACATTTTCAAAAGGAAAAATAAGTAACGGGCCTGGAAGGATTTTTTTTTTTTTTTCAAGCAACTGTGATCTCTGCAGAAAAGGAAAATTTGCTTTTTAAGGAAAAATAACAAAATACATACAATTGTTCAAAGAGGAATATGAACCTGGATGTATCACTCTCTCAGAATATAAATCTAAAGGTGCATCTATCATGAAAGTTTGCTTCCTTGAAGTTTAGAGGATGAGATCCCAAACCCAAAGTATAACCTAACAGACAATGAAGCAGATCAGCTTAGTTGTTACTGAGAAAATGAACAGTAGCTCGTTCCATACACTTCAGAATATACATGTACTTGTGTGTGTGTTTGCACATAATGTGGGATGATGAATCCATTCACCCTGCTCTAAAGAAACATTAATTTAGCAGACTTCATTCTCTTTAGAGTCAATGCCATTCCCTAAGTAAACAATTAGCCATTGTGAGTCTAAAATGAGTCACCTTTTACAGCTGGCTCACATACACAGCAGGCAAGAAGTTAGGTATGTTGCCTTGGGGACAATTCAGAGCAAGCATTCCAGAATCAGAGGGAAAAAAGAATCTCATACTCTCCTTCTGAAGACTCCAGATCTATACTCTGGAGACAGCACAGCTTGTATTCCAATGTTTTCCATTTATACTGAAATTCTAAGCGCACGGAAAACAGCATGCAGATGGGCTGTTTGTGATTTCAGGAGGCTCTTTCGTGCCAGAGCGCATGGTCAGTATAATGATCGGATTTTAGAAGTATTAGCATTGCAGTTTTCCACAATTCATAACATAAACGATGAAAAATTAAGGCATAAGGGCAATAAATACCAGAACATCCAAAGTAGCCACTCTTCTATTAAAAACCAAAACCCTCGGTGCTCACGTCTTTAACACTCCTCAGCTGAGCCTCTGGCACCTGAAGACACCCCCTCAGAGTCTTCATGATGCAGATGGTGGCTCCAGGAGCCTGAAGACCCCGGAAGGTCTTCTATAGCATCCTGGACGTACCCTTACGAGCAACCTAGATGGCCGGGTTTCATTGGTATTGCATTATAATGATCTGAAAATCGGTAAACTCTATTAAACCGAACATCTCCCAGAAGAACTTGACCATGTAAGACACAATAGATGGACAAGTCCTCTAGAGAAGTATTTTCTTTTGGGACTTTTACAAATCCCTGTAAGGTATCAGCGAGTCACTAGGAAAGAGGAAAATCATTAATGCTTTTCAAGTGCTCTAAGGGTTGGCGCTCCCCCCAAAACGTTGGCAGCTGGCTCCTGGATCGTCAGTCAGCGCACACGTAATTAGCTCATGGTACTTAACAAACGAGAGATGGAGCCCATGGAATTCTAAACAAGAGACTCGATAGAAACGACCAGATCAGACATACTTACTACCCAAGAACTGAAATACATCATAGGCTGTAAGAACCAAAATAAGAGTTTTTATATTTCGTTCAAATGGTTTTTTCTAATAATGGTAGTATTAGGGTAGACATAGTATCCTTCACTTTGTGTAAGACATCTCTAATTTCATAAGCTACCTGGCGTTTTTAAAAAGTGGACAGAATTCACTGCCTCCTTCGTCACAAATGTCTACCTCGTACTTTTCTTGTATTATTTTTAACTTTATTAAACATTATTACTTGGGTCACAAGCAGTTCTACCCAGATATAAATTCATAAAGTGACACCTTTTCAATACCAACCACAACTTCAACATGTTCTATAACAGCACATTCCATCAGATTAAACTGCAAGATTTCCCACATTTGTTTTACATTCTATACGTATGGCTTATGAACAGCAATTTTGATGAATTCCAGCTGGCTTAAATATGCAGGCAACCCCTTATAGAACAGATTCTTTTCAATTCCTATTGTATTCAATGAGGCCCATTTTAAGTGGGCCACCTGGTAGGATGAAACACTAATAGTTCTCCACAGAAAACAGGAAAAACAAATCACCCTGCTAAACTTAAGACCATCTTTCCTAACTACAAGTGAGAAGTAGTTCTACTCTTCTGGGAGAACTGAATTTAAATGCAAACAAGCTAGCAACCGTACAAATGAGTACAATGCTCACTTCTCTAATGACAGTGACAACATTAAGATAATTTTCACCATCGGTGAGTGTTGCTCGGTTTCACAAATCCACCAGCACACTCGGTCTCCTTCTCCATCCCCTACACCCTCCTGCTTCCGTCCAGCTGGAACACATCAGGGAGCAGAAGCCAAGTCAAATGTGGACCCCACCCTCCTCCATCCATTTTAAGGCACCTTCAAAGCCCGAGCCCTGATCTAGTTCACTGGCACCAGCACAGCCAGCTGTCCTACTATTTAAGACTTCAGCTTGGGGCTTTTATAACTGCACATTAACGTGAGAGCTTTGATTTCTGGTCAAAAACTTCGCTGCCCTGAGTTCCATGAGATTGTTGCGCCCTTTCTGTGGAAGAGCCCTTATTATTCAATCTTCATAATCTTTGCTCTCAGTGTCAACCTCCTTCCTTCTATAATCAACCTCTCTGAACCACCCGACAGCCAGCCCCGAGGAACCTAACAGTGCCCTTCCCAAAGGTCAAAACGGGGCAGCCGTTAGGGTAGTCCCAATGCATATTTCCCCTGGAATGTGCAAGCCTTAGACCACCGGCGCACTGCTGCACACAACAGTCATTGCAACGTGCACAGCAACGCTCTTGCCAAGATACATGCGGCGGGGAAGTGGGAGCTGGAGAGAAGGAGAAGCCGCAGAGGGACAAAGAACTTACTTTGTTGTTCCCCTGTGCACGCAGCCGCAAGGAAGGAAAAAAAAAAAAAGAAATATGTTAAACATAAACTTATTTAAAGATTCTAAGGTTTTTCACGCTAGAACAAAATCAAAACAAATAATTTATCTGCTGACATCCCATACATACATACAACACCCAGAGCCCATGGGCAAGTCAAAGAATCCACTTATATTAAATGAAATCATATATTTATAACGGCAGAAAATTATGACAGAGATTTCCCCCTTTCTTTCTACCCGGAATCCTTGGAGTATGGGAACCTGGCCAAAAAGGCCTGGTTTGAGCTGGTTATAAGTGAACCGTTAGCATGAAAGGCAAAATAGTTAGTATGTCAGCTTGCCCTTTCCTGACGGCCCTCCTCCAACATGCCAAGCAGTGGAAAATTTCATCAGCCGATGCATTTTTAAACAAACACTGCATCCTTGGTTTCAAAGAAGGTGGAAAAAGAAAGGGAAAGAGCGCAGAGGGAAGGAGTGGGTGGTTCTGGGGAGACAGGGTAAGCAGACCAAGTTATGACCGACATCTGCGCCTTCCTCCACTTCATAAATTACGAGTTTTGTCTCGGGCTGGCATGGGAAGCCAAAGCTGTACAGTGGGGACGAGGCCAAAATAAACACTGGTCCACATTCAAGAAAACGGCTCTTGAAAGGTTAGTCACCAAAAAATGCAGTCATTTCTACAAGAGACACTCTGGATAGAGACACAGAGCAGCCAGCGACAGGCGGCGGGCAAATGGCCCTCCTGTTTCCATCCGGAGCTGCGCGAGGATGATTTATATCGCACAATTTAACTCACATATGGATTAAAAAAATAAAGTGGTGATTCATTACTCCCAGGGCAGCCCGAGTCCTTGCGAGGTCAGATCCTGCGGGGACGACGTGATGGCATCCGGGCAGGGACCAGACCCGCACTCTCCTCACGGGGGCCGGGGGGGCTGCTCGCTGAGACGCAGGGGCAGGGGCTGACGGAAGCGTGCGCGTGTGTGGAGCCGGCTGAGCGCGGCGGGGGCACCGGCCGGGCCGGAGATCCGGCATTCGGCGCTAAAAGGGTGTGCGGGGAGACGTGCTCCACACACGACTTTCGGACGGGGGCGAGGCAACAACCTCGGGAGGGTATTTTCTTAAAAACCGAGCCAACTGGTGACTCTGGGGAAACGTCCAATCCAAGGCCCATCCCAGCCACCGTAGTTAATAACGACAGAACGCGAGTTTCAAGACACGGATACGACAGCGTGGAGCAGCTTCTCGGCGTGGGGCGTCGCCTGGCATCGCCGTTCCCGTCCCGGCCTCCGTGGGACACACAGGACCCGAGAATGAATGAGGCGGGAGGAGAAAGCGTGTCTGGAAGGATACGCCAACCAGTCAGTCAGGCGATGAAGACGCCCGGGAGTTTCACCAGGAGTAAAACACTGTTTGGAGGGACCGGGCCGGGTCCTCCGGAGGAGGCGCGCGGACGCACCGAGGGCGCTGGGCTCCCCGGCAGCGCAGCCTCTGACCTGCCAAACAACGTTCGCGCGGAACCAAGTCTTTTTGCACGTCAGGGGATGCGAGGCTGCCCTGCTCCAGGGCAGATGCTTCTGCGTGTCGGGGCAACGATGATGTCACTGGGCAGGGGGCCTCGATCCTTAAGCACGGGAAACATCCACGTGGACGGCGCGGCTGGCTTGGCCATTTCTTGTTTCCTCCGATCATTCCCCAACGGTGTCCTGCGCCCGGGGCCGGCGGTGGGCCGCACGGAGCCATCGCTCCCTCCGCGGCTCCGTGCGACGGCGACGGACGGCTCATCGCGGCCAGCGCCTCCGCGGAAGGACAGCGACACTGCAGAGCTGCCACGTGGCGGCCTGGCGTGTGACGCGCCGAGAGCGAGCGGCAGCGGCCGGGCCACGCGCGGGCCTCGTCCGGGTCGGGTGGGGACGGTGAGTGCGTGCGCGTGCCTGAGCGCGGGTCCGGCTAAGGGGCATCTCTGCAGGCCGGTGGGCGTCCCGCAGCCGTCTTCTCGCCCTCGGATGTTGCGCAGCCCCCCCCCCCCCCCCCCAGTGATTATCTGCCACAGAGAAACATTCAGTTCTAGAGTCTTTCCACCAAGAATTTCTGAAGTCCCCAAAGACTTCGCTGATGGACCGGTTTCAAACTCCAAAGCCGTCCTAGAGGCTTTCACCAGGCCTGGCAAAGCCTGGAATCCAGAGGTTCACGTCCCTCCGCCTTTTCTCATCACTTCACTCGCGCCCGGGGGCGGAGAACCATCCAGCTCCAGAGCCAATGGGAATCCCTCGGAAATCCTGACGTGTGTGATGTAACAAACAGGCAAATCGGAATCTGCACCAAATTTCTTTCCAGAGCGCCGACTACTCTGAAGGCTGCTTCTTTCCGGAAGCCCGTGGGCCAGCATCAGAGGGCAGGCTCGTGGGTCCTCACTCTCCCTGACAGACAGCCCCCTGGGCTCACTCCTGACGGACAAACGGAGCCTTCCAAGCCGGCCTGGTTCCAGGGCAGCCCAACCCTAAGACACCCCGTACACAATCCTGCCTCCTCGGCCAACAGTTGAGGAATTCTCCTTCACATGCCCAAGTCCCGCTGATACTTTGCAAAGAAAAATTACCCGCTACACTGGGAATTGGGGCTTCATGGACCATTAATAATTTTTAATCATAATAAAGGCTACGTGGCATTGAACACATTCACCCAGGGGCAGCAATAGTTCTCACTTAATCCTCTAAAGTCACGCAGGGGAAGGTAGCATTATTCTGAGTTTAAGAAAAAGAATAAACAATTGAAGACCTAAGTAAATTGCCTGAGCCACAGGGCCAGTAAGTAGAAGCGTCGGGATTCAAACGTGAGTAGGTCAGGCTTAAAGTCTGCCTCGTTTCTCTGCACACAAAATGTTCCAAAGAATTTGGAATTCTTTAGTGTTTATACGCAATTTAAGTCATTAGCTGACAAAACTATGCCAGAAAAGTCCATTATTTTCTATGTCACGTTCTTTAGATATCTAGTGAAATCTACATTTATGTGTATTCACACGTACTGATGCATGTACACACATTTTTTTCCTGTAAATAATCTTTTAAAAGTTCTTTCATTGTAGCCTATGATACTGGTACACACCTACTTTTTATCTCATCTTCATCAGTAAAAAAAAACCCCAAATACTATGAACTAATTCCATTAGGAACACCTTTACTTCAACATTGTGTAGCAATTCAATTCTTCGACAATATAAAATTGTATAGTGGTTATAATTTTAATTTAATGGCCAAAGGAAATAGTAGTTAAAGAACTAAAACTCTGCTAAATCCAAATTCAGATTTCAATACTTTTTTAAAGTACTATGGCTGCTCAGAAAGAGGATGTAACCACTCAAAGAACGGCAGTGTCATAGTTGGAACCTGAATCCAGGACTCCTCATTTCCATTTTAGGGCCACACATCACACTGCTCTAATTTGAAGTCTACATTTTCCTTTGGAACCAGAAAGATTAAGAGACAAAAGGTAATTAGAAAGTCCATACAGAAATCGAGTTGGGCTGTTGCATTTTATACAGATAACTACTGTTGTGCTTACCACGTTGTAATTATTTATTTGCATCCCTCTCTTCCACTACTTGAAACGCTTATAAAGTAAGAAGTGCACCTTTTTATATTAGAATTTCTCGAGTCTACAATAACAGTGATGGATGAAGGGAAGGAAGGGAGAGAAGAGAGTGGAAGATAAAGAAAGAAAAAAAAAACCCGTGGAACACTCCAAGAGAAACAACCCAAGAGACAGAAAACACCAGGTAGCAGAGCCAACACTGTGATGTGAGTGACACAGAAACATTCCATCTCGTGGACATGATAGGAAAAATATGATAGGGAAAAGCATGTCATAAAAAAGTGTGCGATCTTAGTTGAAAAAAAAGTTTGTCCAAAACCAAGATGGGGGTGATGGCTATTTATCAAAAGGAGGCCAAAATTACTCAATTCTTAAAAATGATCTTTGTAGATGTTTCCCCAGGCAACATAGACATGTTTTGTATAGAAAGCAGAACTTCTTGAGTCTAGACTTACGCCCATGTATGATAAATAAATGTTTCATTTTTAGAATAGTGATTGATTTATTGTCAACTCAATGGTTTATTGATATAAAACTTAAATGACACACCAGAAGTCCTAAAAATTTACTTACAGAGAGACATCTGTTATTAGGTTAATCTGACTTTTTCATCAAATCCTTCTAAATGAGGAGTGACCGTACCCAAAAGTATCCCTCCCCCCAAATCGAAGCATGCTCACAAAACGAATGTTGACACAAGCATTCTACTCAGATTGCTTTCAGCAGTTGGCTACCATTTAAACTCAGAAAGTCAAGCAGTCATGTAATGTAACCTCCAGAACTACGTGGTGCATAAGAAATGCAAATATTGTTTATGATGAAAACTGAGAAAAGCAATGTTCATGGTCTACTGCCAAGTTTCATTTCCTGTCGTGTCTTTGGCATATAGTAAAAAACCCCTTTGTCTCGACCTTCCAAGCAACTGTACCAAAAGCATATTTATAAACAAGAATGATGTGGAAAGAATCAAACAGATTGTGTAGGACAACTCTGGATTCACTGGAAATTGAGTATTCTGATAAAAAATGGCCAATATTTCATTGACTGCCTGCTGGCATGCAGAGCTATGGATACAGGAAAATCCAGATTATGAAACATCATTCACCAGAGATAGGGAGGTGATTTTACTTTTCCAAGACAGTTTTCCTTCGGAGGAGATGCATTACATAATTTCTTTCAATAGCAAACTTGTCTAGTGCATTTAAAATACGTTTGATAAAAGCACGACTGGAAAAAAAAACTTTCACAAACATTACAGTTGCATGGTAGGAAGACATATGTCCACACATAAGCATTTTGTACAACCAAGCATTATTTAGAAATAGAAAATAGCATAAAGTATTTATGATCTCATTGGGCTACACTATAATATCCACACTATTTGAGCTCTCATCTACTTGTTGAAGAAAGCAGTCCATGATGAGAATGATACTTATCATCACCATCATAAATGGAGTGCTTACTTGTGCCCATCCTGTTCCATGCTTTCCCTGCATTTTCTCTTAATCCTGTCAACCAAGCTATAGGAGACTCCTGGAATTTCCATTTTAGAAATGGCAATTTTGAAACAAAAAGGCTAGAGGTCTCACAACTTACATGCGAATTTCTGGAATTTCAGTCTCGGTAGTTTGACCCTAGAACCTCTGCTTGAACACACGAGCAGTTTCCTGTAATACCCTGCCACATAATCTTTTAGAAAATGTCCATCTTATCATGTCGCTAACTGGCTCCAAACCCTCGAAGGGCTTCCCATCTCACTCAGAAGTCAGATGCTCTCCACATCCTTCAAGACCAATATAATCTGCCCTGACCCCCCTCGTGGAAACCACCAATCGCTTTGGTCCTCCTTTGTTGTCTTCCAGACTCACTGACTTTTTGTTGCTGTTCTGAGACACTGAGCTGGGCTTGCACTTGCTAGTTCTTTCCACAAATAGTCTTCATTTCATTCACTCCCTCCCTTCCCTCAGGAACCTACTCAAATGGCAGCTCTTCAAAGGGGCCTTCCCTCACCATCTTTACTAAAACAAAACTTACCCGCCCCTCTCTATCTGTCCCTTTAATTTTCTTTATTTTTTATAGACTGCATCACTCTCTCAAAAATCACACTAATTACACAGTTACTCGTTCACTTGTTTAATGTCTGCTCCTTGGGGATGGGACCTTATTTACCTCGGGAGCACCAGTGTTCTGATTGGTGCCTGGAAAAAAGCATTGGCTCAACAGGAAATGGGGATTGAATGAATAAAAAATCAAGTATATGTATATTTTTAATATAGAATCTTTGTGAAACTAAACACAGTACCGTCAACGGAGAGGGAAGAGTAAGAGGAAATGATTAGAATTAATAACAAAAGTGTAAGTTGTACTCCTAGTTTTTAAATGACTCCTCACATGCATAGCTATGTAAGTAAATATGTACACAAATGACAGAATTGGGGCGATTGTGGAAATCATACAGATATGTCTGTGTTTGGATATCACTGGGAAAGGGTCTTGTTTCAGCTCGTTTGGAGGGCACAGGGCATGTGTGTGTTGGGGGGGGGGGTCCGCTGTTTTAGGAACTGGCCAGGCAAGGGTAGGCTGGGATGGGGTTCAGAGGTCTACTACGTGTGCGCCATCGGAACAGCAACCGGAGAACATTTAGGCACGAATCCCCGATCATTTATGTCTGTTAAATTCCAGCGCCACCTTGGGGCTGTGCTCAAGTCTAAAGTTCCTCCAGAGGTGCCTTAATTGTGTCTCTTACGCCCATATTTCAGACTTTTTCTGAGAAGACTCTTCCTACTGGGGCCTAGAAATGATCTGACTTGGGCATGGCCGGTCCCAGAAAGCGATCTAGAGCCAAGTAAGCAGCACGAGGGCGGAGCTGGACCAATTCCCCAAGGCTCGGTCTCAGCACCTGCGCTCCGAGGAGACGCCCGCACGCAACGTCTTACGGGGAACAGGAAGGACGCAGCGAAGCCGCGCACCTGCACCGTCCGTCCGACGCTGTGTGTGCCCACGTCGGGGGGCGGGGGCGTCTGAAATTTAAATCCAGACGTTTCCCAAAGAACACAAAGAGAAGTTCTGTTTATTAACTTGAATGAGGGAAGTGATTTCAAACACTTGGCAATATAATGTTTTTCTTCTTTTCACACTCCAAATAACATTAAACATTCAGAGTTTGAATGCAGATAGAATTTTGGATTCAGGTACTACAGACCTAATGAAAGGAGGGAGATTTTTATAACAACAAGTGCATATTTAAGGATATGAAATAGTGCTGGGACATGCTTTACATACTATGACTAGATGAAGAATGTTCTTAATATATGAACACTAGGACAAGTGTGAAATACCACATAAAGGAAAATAAGATTTTAAGTTAAAACAAATCCTCTCTTGGTCTGAGATGACACATAGTATGTTTTACGGCAGAGGAGGGCATTTTCTCTAACAAACACACTGATAAATTTCCAGGAACTAATGGAGAAGAAGAAATATGAGCGAAGTATTACTTAGAACGGCTCCAAACTAATTAAGTCAAAAGAGAACAAGCTTCTCCATTATCTGGTGTGTAGAATTACATCTTAAGCATGGTTAATAATAGTAAAATACGAGATATAATGCAACTTACTAAAGATTTATCAGGATAAACCCCAGCTCTTAGGAGAGAAGCTTTCCAGCTGTCTACGTCCTCCTGTGAGTCACATGCCAGCTCAAGGAAGCGATAGTCTTTGTATACATTCCTGGAATTTAAAAAAAAAAAAATCGTGCTTTTAGTTGGGAACCAACTTCAAAACGATTTTATGTCATTGCAGACAATGATGAAACAAATGACAGTCCAAATGGATAATTCTCTGACAGTCACTGGAGGAAAACAGAAACAATCCACTGTATTTAAAATAATTAGCAAATTCCTATATTTATTATGTAATCTTTCTGAAACGTCACCTTACAGAATTCAGAGCCACTTGTACTGCTAAGCCATGAGAAGGGAAGGAAATGGAAATGCTCTCAAGATGATACACTCGGTGCTAAGTCAGCAGAATCGATCGGCTGTTGCCTAGTAATCAATCAATTTTCTGAAATTATTTGCTAGGCCTAAGTGGCTCATAAGACTTTAAAAGGTGTGGCAATAATCTTACAAACTTAAAATACTATCCTAGATTCAAAACAGAAACACTCATTGATACCGTGAAAAGAAAACAAAAAAGAAAACAAAAAACCCAAAACATTAACCACTATTCAACAGAGTGAAATGCCTATAAAGTGCATATTGACAACTGGGATAATGTTGTAATTTTATTTCTTTTCCTAACAGTAAAATAATACACGAGACATAATACATGCGCATTTAGAAAGATTTGGAAACTAGATAAAAGTATGGTGACAATCATCCATTTTTCACGGTTTACAGATAAACTTATTTTTTATACTCTGATTCTATCAGTCTTTCACACGGTTGAGGTCTCCCAACCCCCTTCTCTCTGGCAACTCTGACTCCTTTTTTACTTACTGTGGTGTTATGGTCATTGACTTATGCCATTCCATCTTTATAAACATTGAAGTAGAATGGCATGATATTCATTAGTATAAGTGTATGATAATTTCCTTCATCTCTTTCAATTGTTAGATAATTAGGTAATTTCCTTTTTTTTTATGATCAGAAATAATGCTTAAGTGAGTATTCTTATCCAAAAGCTTTTCACACTTACTCCTCTTACTTTCTAAGGACAGATCCTTATAACTCTATAACTCTATAAACAGAGTTAGAGGATCAAACTTACAGTCATTTTTTAAGACACTGATATGCATCACCAATCACCCTTCCAGAAGAGATAATCCAATTCAGACGGATGCCAGCAGAATTCCAGAAATTACAGTCTTTTTCTCTTCTTATTCTCTTCCAGGGTATTCTCAATTCATGCCTAAGAGCCTTTGTTTACAACTAACCTCAGATGGCTCACAAATTGGTATCTCTTGCCCCAAGTGCCCCAGATCCACAGTGTTTACTGACTTCTTTGCTTGACTGTCTCAAATCCACCCTGCCACGAACAACTGAACAACCTTCCCCTCTCATACCCTCTTTCATTTGCCCCCCTAAAAAGTACACCTCCTGATCACACTATCACCCGCCCTCAAATGTCACTGCGGCCTCCTCACGGGGCTCCCGACATCACGGGGCTCCTTCAGATTTACTCTCCACACGGAATCCTCTGACCTCCTGAAATGGGAATCTGATGTTCTTACTCGTGGAGTCAAACATTCAATAGTCACCTGCTTTTAGGGAAAGACTACACTGTCTATCGTGGCCTTTCAAACCCTGCATAGTCTGGCCCATAACTGTTACCCTCCTTTCCAGCTTCTTTCCACACTCTGCTCTGCCTTGTTTTGTTTTGTCCAGCCATTCTGGCTTCCTTTTGCCTCCCCAAACGCGCCATGCCTTCTCCCAAGGTCTCTGAGTGTACCACTCTCTGCCTGTAGCTCTTTCCTTCTGCCCTCATTGCACGACAAACGCCTACTCTTTTTCCTGAAATCCCAGGTCCTGTTTCTTTTCACCTGTCCATCACAGCGCTAATCACAGCTGTGAGTTCAGGATTATGTGTGGGTTTTCTTTTTTATTTCTTATTTACTCACTTGCTTACTTAGATACTGTCTATCTTCCTAACTAGCCCACAAGCAACATTAGGATAGGGAATGTACCATTTTTATGCTTATCATTATATCCCCCAGGGGATTCTGGGAAGACGATGACATAACCATGCTCTGCTTCCTCTCCACTTCTAACTCAGGTCAAACACATCTTCTTTTCTTGAGTGCAGTAGGCTCTGGGACTGGTACTCCGGTACGCGGTGGCTAGATAGTTGTGGTACTTTCTTGCTCGGGGCTGAACAGAGCTTTGGGACCACAGCAGGAAAACTCGGAGGCAGGGACCAGCACGTACCATGCCTTTGGTTGGGCTGTCCTGCATGGATCACAGGACTCCTGGGTGTCCCAGCCCTCTGGCCCTAAGGAGTGTGGGGGACTGAGTTTTTTTCTACCCTAAGGCAAAAAAAAGGTTCCCTCCCGGCGCCTCAATATGTAAACGGCCACTTGCCTACTTGGGGCCTGTGCTGACTGGGATGACCTGTGCCTTCCCGCCCTCACAGGACCAGTCGACTTAAAGTATCCCGTGGCTGGACCTGTGCCACGACGAATAAAGCAATATAAAAGGACACCTGATAAGGAGGTCTCCTCGCCGGAGAAAGCGAGAATGAAGAATGCAGTCAGAACACTGTATCAGTGCAGAACTGCTGGGGAAAGCAGAAGAACAGGACTTGAAGGGGTACAAGAAAAACTTCCTGAAACTAAAAAAATATTTTTAAGTCAAAATATTTAGTAGATAAGTTGAGGGAAAGGATGATGAACGTTGAGCCTAGAATTAATAGTTTCCAAGATCTTGCGGGAGAATTTAAAAAAATATAAAGATAGAGAAGACACAAAAGTGTGGCGGAAAGAACACCTACCCTGTAAATAGGAGGAGTGCCAGAAAAAGAAAGGGGAGGTGGGGGGAGAGAAATAATTATAAAATAGAAACTACTTTTTAAAAAAAAATCTTAACCTGGTTTTTAAAAATATCTGAGTCTATGTAATTTAAGTGCTGTTTCAGGTGCGCTTGATGAAAAAAGGTATCAAGCAGACATACATTTATACAATTCTTGAGCTCTGAAAAAAAGAAAACATTTAAAAGTCTTCTGTAAGGAGAGAGCAAGTTGCTTAGAAAAGAGAAAGAGGTAGACTGGCGCTGGTCTCAACATGCAGAGGCACAAAGCAAGGAAGAAGCATTCGTGGTGTCCTAAGAGGACCATAGAGGCCTATCCCCAGCTGGGACAGCCCCACACCCTGAACTGAGAGGGTCCCTAAGCAGGCAGGAGATGACAGCCGCACCAAACGAACCTGCAGAGCATGGTCAAGGCGAGGAAAAGTTAAGAGGGAAAAAAAACGGAACTTGCAACATCCACAGAGTTAATCAAAATAAATAATGATTGACCATCTAAGAATATGCAGTAGAAGGGTTACAGAAAGACTCCTACAGTAAAAGAGACACACTATTCAAATAGTCTAAAAGTTGGGGGATGGTAGGAGGGCCTAACAGTGCTCCCCAGGTCTTCTCTGATGGGTGCAGGGGCAGAGTGGGGCAGAAAAGGGATTCCAGGGGTCTCGTTGTTAGGAGAAGTGGGTGTTAGGAGAAGCAGAAGAAAGGGTTTGGGGGAGAAATATTTGATAATTTGCCTCATGGAAGGATAGGGCTATGTACTGGTGATGAATGAAAATGTTAATGAAATTAAATGGACGGTAGAACTCTCAAATTAAAAACGAAGAAAAAGGAGAAATTATCAGTCTTTTGATTAAGTAAAAAAATAAGAAGAAAAAAAGGAGGAACAAAATAAGAAATTTTTATAAGCTGGCAGGAATACATTTATGTATATTAATTATGAAATTAACGACAGTGGACTGAATTCTCTCAGCTAGTTAGTTAATTTAGGTTTAAAAAAGTTACATATTATTTGGAAAAATAACAGAAAAATCAGACAAGCACAAAACAAAGAATATAAATTTAAGAATGGCAATATTAATAATAGACAAGATAGAATTTAAAAGTACAAAATAAGATAAACAGTTTAAAAACCCTAATAGAATAAAGAGAAATATTATACAATGGTATAAAGTATAATTGTGAAGATTGGAAAATACTCATAAAACTGTATCAAATTAAATAGTAAGGAAGGAAAGAAAGCAAATGCTACTGCGAGAACTTGTTATAAGTATGTAACCAATTAAAATATAAATATAGAAAAAATTTAATATGACACTTTTCAAATTGGACAAATATAGTGGACAAAAGTAAGCAAATAGAAGATAAAGATTTTTCATTATCCACAAAACATTTACAAAACTCAGTCTTACACTTGGACCTACACACATATACAATACCAGATTTAAGAAACTTTAAAAAAGAGGGGTGCCTGGGTGGCTCAGTGAGTTAAAGCCTCTGCCTTCGGCTCAGGTCATGATCCCCGGGTCCTGGGATCAAGCCCCGCATTGGGCTCTCCGCTCAGCAGGGAGCCCCTTCTCTCACTCTCTCTCTGCCTGCCTCTCTGCCTACTTGTGATCTCTCTCTGTCAAAAAAATAAATAAAATCTTTAAAAAAAAAAACTTTAAAAAAGAGACTACATAGATCACATTCTTTGATCACAAAAAAAAAATTCTAAAAAAAAGAGACCTCAAAACCCCTTAAATATATTCTTAGATGACCTTTATATTACAGAAAAAAAAATAAAATTATAAATTGTTTAGGAAACAATAAAAATATAAACACATCATAGCCAACCAATGGAACACAGCAAATATTGTAGGAAAATTTATGATCTTAAATATGTTCATTATTTCCAGAAAGGAGAAAAAAAAGTCAATATTCATCTATAAGGATTATAAAACTGTGATAAAACAAAACAAGCCAAGAAGAAGGAATTAACAGATTAAAACCAAAATTAATAAAATAGGAAATATAAAAATAACACAAAGGATAATAAAGACATCCACAAATATTTTTCCCCTTAAGAACAGATAATGCTAATTAAGGGAGAAAACAAAAATATACAAGATCTCAAATGGGAACAGATGGGATACATAACCACAAATAGAGAGAAGATGGAAAAAAATTAAAATCAAGTATTATAGGCAATCCTATATGGCAAAACTAAGA